TTTTCCGCTCTCCGCGTTTGCCGTACGCGCGGCATCGCCGCCGCCGTCCACGTCCGGACAATCCGGACTCTTGTAGGCACCGGTCGTCCTCTCTCCCTCAGCGCCGGACCAGCCGGACGGGCGTCGGGTACGTCGAACCCGGAAATACCGACACAACCTGCAGCCCCCCCCCCGTCCGATCCTAATATCATTATTATTACCTGTAGATTACAATAATATTATAGACAACACGATAAAACGTCGTTATTATATAGGTTGGTTGGTACCCATCGTCGTTTGTTCGTTTAATAATTTATATCGGGCGGGTAACTGCTCGCCGCGCCGATCGGAGGGTGTAGGGGTGTAGTCACCGTATAATGCGGAGGGACGGGACGACGGAGCGAAACGTTTGTATTTGCGCGCGTTCTTGGTTGTGAGACATCCCGAACGTATCTACGAGGGGAGTGGCCGTAGCACTTCGAGGGACAGAAAAAAAATTGTGTCTAAATCGGGAATATGAGCGGGTTGTTGGAAAACGTGTAATGAGCAAAATATGCTTTCGATGTTTTGCTCGGGTACATTTGTGTAATTGCGGGGGTGTCGTACCTCCCCGTGAACTTTTAATTTTACATCGCGTATCGGCGTTTTAAATACTAGCCCGCTATAATTACCATGTTGCACACTAACACGAGTTATAGAAATAATACAAAAAAACCAAAATTCCTATTCTGGCCGTTAGGCTATTAATTAATAATAACCGAGATAATAATATTAACTTCACAATGTAGATGCTGCTTTCAATACAAAATAAAGATAACGTATAGGTATATACAATACATAAAATGTTATGTTTTAAATAATATTATGCATGATAATACGCACAATAATATCTTTATTGATTATGATAAACTGCACTGTGTAGTCTCCGACTTTGACAACTAAAATATTAAATATAATATATATATAACTCGTTTCTAGCGTTTTTCTATAGTTTAAATATATACCTAGTATTGTATTTAAGTGTACTTAAGTGTCAAGTACATGTACATTGCACACATCGCACATGCCGGACATAATATGCGCTATAGTTGTGTTGAAAAGTGCCTGAAATACTTGTGCAAACAATTATTTTAAGTAATTCTTGTGTATAAAAATGTCACCTCTCTCAACAAACAAATTACGCCACTGCAATTGGATTTATTATTAGCTTTAAAAATAGATCGATAAGAGACCTATATTGAGTCATCTTCGGGAAATTGTATATTAGCAATACTTTGATGCCATATCTATACGTATTACGAATTGCAATTGTATTGGCATGTACGGAAAATTACACTCGAATCGTTTTATTTTTTCAGCTTTTTTCACACTATACCGTAATTCGACGATAACCAGCACTTACAGTCTGCTCCAAAGCTTGCGGTCTTCAGTCCGAGAAGGCTGATATTCTCTACTGACATGGTACTGATGGTGCCAGTTCCAGAACTATTCGTCGTGATCGGTGAGTTATCGTGATTTCGCATAATAAAAGACATAAATCGTTACACAATTAATAAACAGCTACAGTAGTCGCAGTAGCAATACACAGTAACATTCAATAGTGTTAACGTTTTTTTTCTTTTTTTTTTAACGTGACCGTTACCGCTAATTTTATAGTTATATAATATTATAATATGCGCAGATCATATTATTTGTACATATACCTATTATTACCAGCCAATGTATTTTCTATAAAATATGTGTCAAGTGTCTTAGTGCACCTTATAACAATTGAAATTAAAAAAAAAAAAAAAATGTTTACTATCAATCTCTGTGAAGTTCCTTAAAACTGAATTACCTACATATTATTTATTAAGTTTTTTTGTGTTCTAACTAAATGTGCAATAAATAATTTAATAAATTTAATAACAAATATTAGTTGTAGTTTGGTATCCAATTGCTTACATAGGTATTTTCAATACTAACATTTTACGTTTAACTTATTATTAACATATAGTATTGTTTATAATTGACTATTACATAATACAGAGACAATAGCCAGACAGCAGGGACAGCAACAGTGGCACAAATAGAAAGGTTAATATCTTAATAAGCCCCTTCAATCAGTATTCACGTTTTATAAACATAATAAATTATAGTATTATACAAGCGATGCCCGCATGTATTATTTCTGTCTAAAGAGCATAATATGACAAGGCAAATTTTTTATTCAGCGCTCTCATATTTTGTGTTCTTTATTAGTTTTAATATTAAAATGTATCGTAAATTTACTTGTTATCAAATTTTATAAATTAAAATATTATCTGTGTACCTCTTCGGATTTTTATATAGTATTTTAATTTTAAAACGAATTATAATTTAATAAATATGTAAATTAAAAAATATTCAACTTTATAGATTTTTCTTGACTTTCAACTACAGGGTTATAAAATCATAAAAAAAAAATATCAGGGAACAAAACCCTTTGAGATTGTTATCTTTTTCTGGGAAGGAGACTAAATGCGTCTCTAAAAGATCGTTGTCTCGTTGCATTTAGGGTTAAAATTATAAGTCAAAAAATAAAATTAAAAAAATCTTGGCAAGTTAAATAAAATTTTATTCTTATCTTAATTATGTCCGTGAGTTTTCACTGATTCTGTAATTTTAGTTATAAGTTATTAGCGTTATAACTATTAACAAGGTGTTTTATAGCATTTTAATATTGTTGTCAAGGAGGTGGCAACGGAAACGACATATTATTTCAGTCTAAATAGTTGTGGCAACGGCAATGTCACTTTCTGGATTATTTTCAGTGCAATATTTTTTTTCTCGTGAATAATTAAAGATTCGTCATTGTTCTCGATATCATTTGCTGCGTTATGTAATCATTTTTATAAATAATATTAAATCATTATTATTATTATTATTACCTATGACGACTTTTATCGCATGATATTATATTATAACAACATTACATAATTGTTGCAATAAAAATATCATTTGATTCCCATAATATGTAGTTGTCTCCGTCTTACAAATGTATGTACCTATTTGTTAGCTAAGCATTAATTAAATAGTGAATTTAGCTACTATAAGTTTAAGAACTTTATGTCTGTGCTTTCTTGTGATGGAGTTCTTACAATGTTTTAATTTTTAAATAAATCGTAAATTTTAATTTTCATAACTCGCTTAAAAAGAAGTATCATTAAAAAATAAAAACAATTTTCCTATCTTGAAGTTTGTTATTTGGTCATTTCTCAATTCTCTCTAATATTAAAGCTTACTGTTCGAAATTGGAACTGTTGAACACAGATTTGCTATATTATACTTTGTAAGACGTAAACGGCACGTCATGCGGGTGATGCGTTCCTTGGGTGTAAGCGGGTGATGTGCAGGAGGGTATTGGTAGTTGGTATACGCACAATAAGTTTTTTTATCCAATTTCACAATTCTTTAATATTTTAGTAACTATACAAATTACACGCTGTAATAATTATGTTTAAAATATAATATATATATTATTAAGCACAATTTATAAGTATAAGTATAGTAGGCACTTCCTACATTGAATACACTCAAATATCAGAATATCAATATACAGATTGTTATTACACTAGGTGTCTATAGGTACAACTTGGTAACTCAAAATAGGTACTTTATGATATATGGATTTGTTACTGCGCTGTTATGACTAATAGGATCACTCAACATTTTTCTAAGTAATGCATTAAAAAACAATTTTTAAATTCTATAAAAAACGATTTGAGTAAGCTCAACATTTGTCTAAAACGATAGAGTTTATTCAACTAGAAAAACTGTTTCTTCGAGAAAATGAATGTCTGAACACTAATTGAACAAATATAAAACATGTTAAATTTAAAAAAAAAATGCTTGTTTAAACTCGAACGCCAAACGGTAAATTAAATTATTACCGACACCTTCAATAATGTATGCAAAAATATGCTACACACATATTTTCTGGATCAATCATGTATAATATTTACACTTTTGTTTATGAAGTTGTCCAGTGATTCGGAATAATAATCAGTGAATATCGTTAAATATACTCAGAGGCCTATTACTGTAATTATTACAATATTACAATCGAATGAAGGGTAAAAATAATTTCAAATACCTTGTACATCGTTTTTCGCGTTTATCTCCCGAAATAATGCGTATTATTTTCACCATCAGTTCGTATATTATAATTGATGTCATCGATGCGATTATGTTACTTTTCGTGTTATTTTCTTACTGTTTTATGCAAATAATACGTAGTATTCATAAATGTACTAATGATGTGAAAAATACAATAATAATAATGAATACGTGTAAATGTATATAGTGAAAAGCTGAATTTTCGCGAACCAATTCTACAGAAACAGTAATAATAAATTAAATATAATTTGGTTATAGTGGTACCTATATACTATTACCATATATACACTATTTTTGTAATGTTATTATATATTTATATCTATGATGTTGCGTTTTTGTTTTTTTAATAGCTTAAATATATTTTTAACGATTGAATTGTAAACATTCGTGAGTTTTATATATAGTAATATACAAATATTAAGTTAATTTATAAAATAAAATAAAACTATGTATTCCATAGATGAATTTAAGTTATGTTTTATTTAAAATTGGTAATTTCATTATAAAAGTGTTACTGGCAATTGTTCACGTTGAACATTTTTTTTTTTTAATCATTAATAAATAATTATTCACGAAACCAAATAATACTGATACCGAATACTGACAAGTGACATTGCGCGAGTTAGAAACATTTAAGTTTCCGGTATCATTTTACGTACAGAACACATGTATTTATTTTAGACATGCCTAAAATAAAAATAATTAACAATTTAATATTAATGTCAGCGGGTCAATAAAATCGGAATCGACATTAAAAATTCAAACGTACGCATTAACAGTATAATAAGTACAGTATTCGTATATAATATCAAAAATGTAATTAATTTTATAATGAAAATAAAACAACGTATAGGTAGGTAGGTACTGTGAAAGACAATAGCCAATGTGTATAAAATATATAATCTAAAAATATTATGCTGTCAAATAATAATAAAATGATGTGACGTGTTAAAAAAGACGACAATACAGTGACAATCAGAAGGTATATTATAATATAATAATAATCGTTGCAACTAAAGTCACAATAGGATTATATTGTTACAATATAATAATATTGTAATAGGTGTACCGAGTACCTATCTTTATATATTTAATATTAGTCATACGGATTACACGTAGTTTCTTTATGTAACTTTTAACTTGTTGTTATTTGAGATCATGTAAGTATAAATAATGTATATGGTTTTTATTATAAATGTGTAATTTTATTCACCGTGCTTTTGCACTCAACCAAATCCTATTCGACTCTTACTGATTTTATAAACAAGTTGTTTTCGGCACTTTGGCAATAACTTTAGGTATATTATTCCGTTGTTGGTAAATCACAGTTCATAACCCTCGGACAGGATCCAATCATGACGTATTGAATAATGTATTTTAATAATGTAGTTTGCAGTATTTTTTTCGTACGTACAATATTATTATAGTATGGTCAAACAAAACACTTTGATAAAAGTTAATGTTTATAAATGTATACTCAATTTCGAAACTATTGTTTTGCATTTTTATTCGTGAGTTATTTAGATTTCTAGCAAGTTCAAAGCAAAGATACATAATTTTTTTTTTCAATTCTTTCCGACGAATTTTATTCGAATAGTAAAAAAGACCACAGCTCCTGTAAAAGTGCCATCACTATAAGTCTATAATAAATAAAAATCTAGTATAGCTATTACTTTAATTTATTTTCTAAATATACTATAGATCAATAAATCGACGGACTAAAATTATAGACGAATTTATAATTGATATATCTTTTTTAAAATATAACAAAAAGAACATTATTATTGTCGATAATACAATACTTAGTACTAACCTAATATCTCTTATACAAGACCCAAATATTAACTAAGATGTTAATATTTATTTTTCTGCCGTACTCAACACAACACGTAATAATTGAATATTCAAAAAAGAATGATCTAGATTAAAAACCTGACTATGAAAATAATTATTTATTTTCAAGCAACTTTAATTTTTCTGTTTATTTATGTATTAAAATAAATATCTATTTTAAATCGGCTTGAATAATTAATGATTATTCAAGTATAAAATTAGTAATTTTTAAATGGATAATAAAAAGTTTTTGTAAAATAAGAATAAAAATATTTCTCGAAATTTGATTTTTTTTTCTTCAAAAATCAATATGGATATAATAATATACACAATTATTAGCATTTTCACTTTTCATATTTATGCAATGTTGAAATCACTTTTTACTAGTGACTTATTAAGTAGGTAGTTGAACAACGCATTTTAACATATCTGAATTTATCATGATTCATAAATAGTATTTAGTGAATAATGTCTAAGGTAAATGTACAGTTAAATAATAGCATTAGTTTAATTTATTCACCACATCTGTTC